CGGATCAAGGGCAGGCCCCCGTGCGGAAATCGACACGACAACGCTCCTCTTCGGGAAACTTGCTTCGTGGACGATCTCCTTGAAGGGATCTGTCCCATAACAATCGCTTTATACATTACCGCAGTCCTATCAGGTCAGCTACACCTGTCCCATGCGCAGATTCTGCACAGTGCAAAATACAATGTGCATTCTGCAGGCGTGAGAGTCATCTTACCGCATCTTGTCACTTAGTTGTTTCTCGGGAAGCGAGAATGGAAGTCGTTATCGACGAGAACCTTTGCCGGAAATGTTTTGCTAGGGGACATGTGGCTGCTGGTTGCGATGCACCGCCGTGCTCAATTTGTGGACGTGGTCACCATGAGACACTGTGCCGAAGGAAAGGAGCCTCTGGCCAGAATCTTGGGGACAGTCACGAAGTGACACGGAGTGTTCGCACTAGACGTCCTACTCCGATGCCAGGCAGATCGACGGATCGTTCTTCGGCTGTATATCGACGACAGTCTCGTTCTCCGTCAGCTTCACGCTACCCTTCTCGTGAAGTATCGTTCAGTCATCGGAATCAATACATTCCGAGACGTCGATCTTCATCAAGGGATTCTCGCCAGAACGTTCTACCGCAAGGCGTTCTGATCCTAAGGACGAACTAGTGGCTAGTGAATCCGAACAGCGGAGCTAAAGACACATGGTACGCTCACACACATTGAGGGTGTGACCTATTTAGCCTGTCGCGGGACGGTGGCGAACTAGCAGTGGATGGCCCCTCGCCCTCTTACCCGCCGTCGAGGCTGGCGACTGCACCGGTAAGTAGACCTCCTGCCGATCCCAAACCGGTAACTTCCGCAGTCCGACGAAGCCTTTCGTGGTCCACACCGTGGTTTCTTCCCCACGGTGGGAAGCCGCTCACCGCCGGGCAACCTAAACTGACCTAGCCCGCGAACGCAGCGAACCCGTGCTAAACGCACTAGGACACCTAACTAGCATACAACATGTGGAACTCAGGCAACTCAATGCAATGAACGCTACAGCGCTCTGTCGGCCCCGCGTCCGCTTTGTCCAGACTACCGACAAAGCACACAGATTTATAAATAAACTCACATTATATAGTGTCTCCTAATCCATACACTTGACGGCCTCTCTTCGTAATCCTGCCAGCTCATGGAGTCGCGCACCAAGCAATCCAACCTATGAAAGACATAGCGGTAAAGCACTCTGGCGCTCTCGCCCTACAGCCGGCGCACGCCTCGGCCGACCGTTGCGAGCTACGGCCCAGTGCTTCCGCCCAGTGGCAGCATCCCCGAAATGCCGCCAATCCGGGCATCATCGCGGCACCGAAGTGCCCGGCGCTCCCCTCCTCCCGAGGGAGAGAACGCGCCGACTGACCAGCCTGCCGCCTTAATAAGGCGCCGCCTGGGGCGTCCAGTGACGAAGGTTCTCCTTTCAAACGCGTCGCGGCTTTTTAAGCCTTAGAGCGCGCCAGAGCCTACGGCGCACGGCTGCTCGGCGGCTTGTAGTGCGGTCCGCGGACACAGCCGCTGGATGTTCTTGTTTCCCGCCCGAAAATGTACGGGGTTAGAGGTCAGGCCGTGAAAAAGTCTAAATCGTCCGTAGCTCCGGCCTACAGTTTAATTCTAACAGCGCGTTCCGCGGCGGCGTGTCCCGCGTCGCTCTCCTTGGCATTTTGCCAAGTTCTGTAATTGCCCCTTGTGAAAAGCGGCGATTTCCTGATGGGCGGATAACATTTAGGGGCTGCAAAATAAGAACCGACAGATGATGACGATGGGCTAACGAACTCAGAGACAAAGAAGCAATTGTGCTGCTTCTGCGACATTATCAGAGGCCGCGCATTCCCACAGAACATGACAATAAAAACGGCCTAAGCGTTCCACGTTAGTTTAATACAAGCAAAACGCAATTTCCTGATGCGAATAACATTTGAGGTGTTGCTCATGCTTCAAAGTCCGAATAGAAGGTGATGAAGATGACAAAGGCTAGAAATGAAGAACAACGAATGCAGATGTAAATAAATAAAAATTTAAGGAAACGCAAATTAATTAAAATCGCGTGTAAATTTCTGCGATCCGGCGAAATGTCGTTCCAAAGCATAGAAATACGTTAAAACTAAACGACGTGGAGCTTACCAGGCGATGGTCGTCAGGTCCGAAGTGCCGTTTTATCATGAGACTAAGACCACTACACTATTTTCAGGACCTGATTTCAAATCTGCATTCCAAATTTGCAAAGCGATTCTGTGAACGGAGTTATGACGGGTCGTTTGGCTGAAGCGGCGCGGGGTCGGCGGCAGTTGCCAGCCAGCGGGCATGAGTAACCGGGATGCAGCGCCTCATCCAACGGCGGCGGTGGCACAGAGGTAAGAGTCTAGGTTCATGGGCAACACGATGAAGGTTCGGATCCCGAGACTGTGGTTCGTTTTGCATTCCGTGGAGGACGTCCTACGACTATGATAAGCACTTCAAGCGTTGATGTGACCACATTTTTCAACTGGGGCTGGGTGATCAGTGTGATCTACATCTTATGGGAATAGATCAAATTGTTCCGGATCAATGTCTAGAGGCTGCGAAATGACGTGGCAAGCGTGGGAACTTACCAGTAGGGTGAAAGCAGTACTGGTTCGCAGCTATAAGGATTATGTTCTGTCCAAAGCTGGTAGTTTCGCACTTATTGAAGGAATTCGGCTCTTGTGATCTCGAGCGTGCCCCATCCAGAAAAGAGCTGAAGATCATCAGCAGCTTCACGTATATACTACGGGAAGCCATGTACGACAACCTGATCATCGAATGCGAGGAAGACACAGTGGTAGAGGACGGAGAAGGCGACCCACTGGTGGATGTTGACGATGGGGAGCTAACACCGAGCACGGAGGGATCATTCTTGTTTGGTAACGTGGAGGTGCCCAGAGAACAGGTATGAGTTCAGTGTTTTCCAGGCATAGTCAACTACAAGTTATATCACTGTAATGTAGGTGGAGAGAGCAATCGCCTTCTATCGAGCCAGCGCCAAAGGAAGCCGCCCCTTGTCTAGTATGAGCGCCCACTTCCGCTTCATTCGTACCGACTACCATCTTCTTAAGTTAAGGCGTATAGAACAGGAAAGTAAGTGAATAAAAAGCGTATGAATCTTTCGCTGCCATACGTGCAGGTGTGTTTTAGAATTATTTTATTCTACTGTCTCTTTTTCTCACTGTAGATTTGACAGGAAGCCACTGGGGAATTTCCCGCTAGAGGATATTTCCCTGCAAAGAACTTGGAAGTCCGTGCCAGCAGGACGCATATGATGAGCAAGCAGCTGATGTTGGAGTGGGTACAGCATTGTGTCGCGGGTCCAGATTCTCCAGCGTCAACTTTGCTTGTGGTTGATTCGTGGACTTCGTTCAAGGATCACGAGGCCATCCGCTCCGTCTTACCACCACAGAAGCAGATTGAGATCTTCAACATCCCTCCTGGAGCAACTAGTCAGATACAACCGCTAGATGTCTATTTTTTTATGCCATTCAAGGCAATGTACAAACGGATCACGGCGCATGTCATAGCCCATGATATCAATTTTCATGTATACGCCCGCGATTCCATATTACGGCTACTTTCGCTCGTGTATTTCCAATTTTGTGCACCCAGGTTTAGGAACTTCCTGCTATACTCCTGGTACGCCGCGGGTTACTTGAGCACTCATCCAGGTACTTTTGAGACGCCAGCAGAATTTTGTTTTCCATCCCAAGTAGTTAGCGTCTGTGACATTACGGGATGCGACAAGATCTTTTTTATTCGTTGTTCTCATTGTGAGCAACTTCTCTGTTTTGACCACTTTGTATTAGGGTATCATATTTGCTCATGAGGTGAAGGAGTCATTTTTTTGCATAGCATTATTATCGTGTATGATTTGAAGAATGTAATTCCCATAACTATAAGATGTATATCACACTGATCGCCCAGCCCCAGTTGAAAAATGTGGTCACATCAACGCTTGAAGTGCTTATCATAGTCGTAGGACGTCCTCCACGGAATGCAAAACAAACCACACTCTCGGGATCCGAACCTTCATCGTGTGCCCATGAACCTAGACTCTTACCTCTGTGCCACCGCCGCCGTTGGATGAGGCGCTGCATCCCGGTTACTCATGCCCGCTGGCTGGCAACTGCCGCCGACCCCGCGCCGCTTCAGCCAAACGACCCGTCATAACTCCGTTCACAGAATCGCTTTGCAAATTTGGAATGCAGATTTGAAATCAGCGTCTGAAAATACGTCTAGTGGTCTAGGTCTCATTACAAACGGCCACTTCGACCTGACGACCATCCCTAGTTAGGCTTTTTTGATTTCATGTTTTGTGGGAGTGCGCGGCCTCCGAGGGATATTGCAGAAGCAGCACAGTTGCTCTTGAGTTCTGGCCTCTGCGCCGCAAGTTGCATTTTGGGCGGAGCATGGACGAATTAGACTTTCCCACGGCCCTGTACTCTAACCCCGTGCAGTTTCGGGCGGGGAAACCACGACACATCGACAGCTGGGGGGCTGATAGTCACATACACCCTCAATGTGTGTGAGCGTACCATGTGTCTTTAATCAACACTACTTTTTCTACATCTATAAATCATTCAGCTCCACTTTCTTCCGATCCGCGCCTTATGATCGTTACTTCACGATCCAGAAACAATATTACCCGCTCTGATGAAACTCTTGTGATGCTGCTTGATAGCGGATCAGAGCATAGTTTCATCAAGGAAGATACCGCAAAACGGCTTGGACTTCACTTAGTGAACCATGTCCGATAACTACTCGCGGCTTTGGAGGACATACCGCTACAGGAAATGTCATCCATTGTCTCAATCGTACTCCGTGATCAGTCCGATATACCAGTGCGTCTCCGGCTGAGAACAGTGAGTCACGTCACGTTTTCAGCTGAGTCATTACTTCAGTGAGCTTGAAACCCAATCCTTCTGCAGGAAAGCTCCGAGCCTTATCAAGGGATTGATTCAACAGCTCTGCAGTTTTCGAACCGAGATGAGGAAGTCGATGTGGACATTCTAGTCGGAATCGATTACTATTGGAGCATCATCGATCCACTGAAACCTCGTAAGCTCCCCTCAGGGCTCACTCTCGTATCTACGCGCTTTGGTCCAGTCATCTCAGGCCAAGCTTATTCCTCCAAAAGTAGTGGCTAGAATTTAGCTGAACGTTACCGCTGTATGAAATTTGTGACAGTTACCGCGTTGTTGCCCAAGTGGAAACACAACAACTTACCGCCGGTTTTCTCTTACTTTAGGTACGATCGACAAAATGGGCAAGGACGCCGACCATGATGGGCAATTAGATGGGCAAGGACGGTCAACTAAGTTGGGCACGGCATCGACGACTACGACTCCTATTCTACAACATCGTCAAGTCAATCAACATCTTGCTACGTCACATCAAGTTGCTGTTTCGAGTTCGATGGTTTCGATGGTCAATCAGTCCAATGGTCAACGACGAATGGAAAGTGGAGGATTCCGGCGCAATTCAGTAACGTCAATTTTTGGTAGCCCTTGAGGCGCCCATTATGTCTTTCCGGGTATCCTTGAGATACTCGGTATTTGTGTTCTTTGCGAGTTGCCCTTAAGGCTCTCGCCTTTAGTTTTTTTAAGGTCCTTAAGCCGCTTCTAGTGATGTGTTTTTAGTTGCTGTATAATCGCATGTTCTCGCTGTATGTTATTTTGTATTTGAATTTGTGTTTTGAGGTACCCTTAAGGTCTCGCTGTATGGTATGGTCTCTGTGAGGTACGGTTCTTTTCGGTGGCCCCTAATCAGACAAGTTCGCCAGGTTACCATGGAACTTTGAATGGAGACCTGGATAGAGTCTATAAGGTTATTTACAAATATAGATAGCAAAACTGCAGCCACAAGCAACTTATGAGCAGGTAAAGTTTGTAATGGTGCAGTAGGGTGGAGGCTTGGTGGTGAGCTGTGAAGCATAAGCGAGGAATCGCATACGTCGAATCGAGTCGTGGTGGTTCAGTGGTAAGGTTCAGTGGTAGACGTTCGACAACTCTATTCGACGTATGCGATTCCTCGCGTATACGCTTCACAGCTCACCACCAAGCCTCCACCCTCTTGCACCATTACAAACTTTACAATGCTCATATGCGGTTGTAATGGCAGGCTTGGCAGTTTTGCTAGCTATATTGTGAAAAACTTATACGTTTCTATCGCTGCAACAACCCAGGTCTTCATTCTGAAGTTCCCGTGGCAAGTTGGCGGAGTTCCCGATAGGCACCTACGTTTCTATCATGAGCATGCTCATCATGTTATAAACGTGTTGTACATGGTAAGCGCTAGACAGCGATGAAGAGCCGTCTGAGCTGGACGACGTAAGAGGCCGTCTCCTGATGGCGTAACGGATAGCGCACTCGCCCGAAAGCGTGAGGTGCGGGTTCGACTCCCGCCTGGGGTTCGACTTTTGCCCATAACTCAGCATTCTTGTGATACTTCAGGAACGCGAACTACGGCACGCGAAACACAGCAGTTATCATAACGAATCTGTCATGAGCTTTATGACTAGTAGGGACTGCCGAGTAGGTAGCAATTTGTGAGGAATGACCATGCCATCCATTTGCCGCTAGGGGGGAGGCTTAGCCAGTCGCACGGTTCTGGGGCTTTCAATCAGCTCCGGACCATCGTGCTCCACGCACACCCACGAGAGAACCCCTTTTGCTTCTCTGAGATTGTCGCGAGTCGGCGAGCGAAATCTGGGTTCCGAGTCGCGAACAACTGGTTTGCCAGGGTTGCCAGGCGGCCGTGCGCTTGTGGCCCTCTAGCTATGGGCTACACGGGCAAAACGCGCCGATGCGAACCGCCGCGTCATCGCCCAGCTCCCAGTGGAGCTATATAATGGGCTGCAGCGCTCAGTCGTTGTGCTTCTTCCCGCGCCGGGGTAGGGAAACGCGCGAGCCCCGCGCTCTGGCCGCGATGATCAGCCGGACGGTGGCGGGGTTGCTTGCACTCTGCGCAGGCGGGTGATCGACGCTGCTTCCGTTCACTGGTGGGCTCTGGCTCTGGCCCGTGCCCATTATACCCGAGGGCACGGCCGGCTGCGGTTGCAGCTTGGAGCCGCAGGGCGTTATTTACCGCTAGGATCGTTGGACGTTGGAAGATGGATGGTCAGTCCAAAGGTACTGCCAGAGATCTTGAAGATAGGAGTCGGAAGAAGGTTCGCTGGCACGTGTGTCCGATAAATATGTAGTGTACTCTATAGGCTTCTTGATAACAAATGGGATTGGAGCGACCGGGTAGATGAACTCGTCAAGGGCTGGTTAGGTTTAGGGGGGTCAACATCTTTGTTGGTGTACGTGTTGGTGGTTAGGTGTATGTAGACCGGTTACGGCAGGCTGTAACAGTGATAGGGGCCAACCGACCCAGGGGTCCAGGACGGACAACGGGAAGGTCGGACCTATCACGGGCTTATGCCGATGGGGCTGCTGTCCTCTGCAGCCTGCACGGGCTAGGCCTTAGTAATCTCGGGGAAGCAGTGACTATACAGTGCGGGAAAGCGATGTAGTCCCCGAGAGAGCCGTGACAGAGTGGTGGTCAACTGGAGTTGCTGCGGGGCCCTTGGACTACCGATTAGCCGTGGAGGAGGGCTAGTAGGGCGGAACGAGGTGGGCTTGCCTGCTTCTGTAGAAGGGCATGCGCATTCAAGGTTGTCCGAAGAAAAATTTCAAAAAGTGCCGCCGAAAACCGTGCAGAGGAAGCCGAAAAGTGCCCTTTACTCAGTGCACTTCAGAAAGATCTGAAACAATCGTTAAGAAGATGATCGAGCATAAACATGATCTCGACTGAGGTCAATATTCTGTTGATTGAGCAACCTTCTATTCCTACTTAGTAGGACTCGAAGATAATCGCATCACCTTCTATTTATAAAGTTAGCTTTGAGCGTTGTTGTTAAGACAAGAGTCTGAAGGAATGAAAGAGCCGCTGAGACTGGATAAGTGCGTGTCACTGAAGGCGTTGTTCAGCCGATCCACGCACAACATGTACTCAATCCATTTAAAGACAATCGCATCAAGTGGTCCGCGGAAATGCTTGCATTCGGCATCGTTGCCCGCATTGGAATATAACCACTTTTGTCCACACAAAACGGCGACATAAGGAAGGCTAGAGATGTGTGGTTAGTGCAACCATTGCAACCGCGACTACTTTCACTCTGCAAGACAACGGCTTGCAAGCGGATTGCATATGTGCATAGCGTTGCCTGGAGCTTCGTAGGGTGGTCACTTATGTCATTCGCCGGAATGGTTGCAGTCGAATCCTGCTGGTTGGGATGCCGAGATCCTAGAACTCGTCAAGGCGCTCACTGACAAGGAAAGGATGGTTGGTCGAAGTGGCCATTTAAGACAAGATGCATACACACTGATGCGTCTTCGGACGCTGATTTCAAATCTGCTTTCCATATCTGCTAAACGATTCTCTGAGCAGAGATATGCAGGAGGTTGTTGTACGGAGCACAATTGAGCTTGGTACACAAATGAGAGCGTGAGAAGGGTCACACCAAGCGGCAGCGGTGGGCTAGTGTAGTGTTGTGCCGCGCTCAAGTATGCGAGGTGAGAGGTTCGAATTCCTACATGGGCTGTGATTTTGCATTTTCTCAAAAATGCCTCCTGCACATCCGGAAAGCACTTCTTGCGAGGCTAGAGAACCGATGATGTCCTATCCAAAAAAAATTTTATCTTCTGATGTGATCGACAGCCATATCTGAACACTCCTAAGTGTGTATGACTGTTGGCTGTCGGAGGACAAACTGAATTCCAGATGGCATGGAAGCCAAAAGTGGATGTCGTGGTTGTTATCAGGACCGTCAGTAACCAACAAGGACTAAGATTTAGCGAAGGAACCTCCACTGCTCACAGAGATTTGAATCGGCGATAGTGCCAGCAACCTTTAGGAATTGCTATGCCATATGGTTATGCGGTACACAGGTATCGAAAATAGGTCGAAATCTCAAATTTGGTTGAAAACTTGTCTCTAGGGCTAATTTGAGCCCCAGAGCACGAATATCACACTCGTTCGGCGTAAAAACGCTTGCCAAGGACGTTGCAGGTTCCTGCACACCCTGCCCCTCCAGAATGCGTACAAGACGTTTTCACGAAATATAACTGCAGTGTTGATTTCCAGGGCACTGAAAGGCATCCTCTATTTCAGATTCCAGCACAATTTGGGAAATTTGAGCACTTCATATACATGCTGGAAATGGGTGTGGTGTCAAAAATCCTGCATAACTTTGTCCAGGAAATCGTTTAGCAGATATGGAGGGCAGATTTGTAAATCAGGGCCGTTCAAAGGGCGCCATCCAGTATCGTCTCATTTGAATGCCTTGCGACCACCATCCTTACCTGTCGTTTGTAAGGGAGGGGGGGTGGGGGGGGGGGAAGGGAGGGGGAGTCGTTCAGGGTGTTTGTTTATCTCTTTTACTGGGAGGGGGGGGGGTCTTGTGAGCTATTGATTCCATTATCTGAGCACCTACTGCCCGTAATACCCTGGATCGCGGAATTTGTTGATCAGATTGCGTCAGCTTTTCCTGTTTTCCTCAGCGCCCTCAAATCATGCGCGACATTTAAAAGATGATTGTGACCGTTGACATGTAAAGCTTATCCCTGGCTGCTTTGGCATTTGTTATTGCCACATATCCGATGCCTTTGATACGCTGGCCAAGGTCCCCTATTTCTCCGTCTCATAACCTTGTCCTTTCTAACCCTTCCACAGACTGGATGGCCCATACAAAAGAAGTTTAGTTATCTACGTAGTCATTCAAGCCCAATGGGACGATTTCTACTGTTTGACCGCGCCAGTAGCGTCACAAGAATGGGAAGTTCATTTGAAGTTACTTGAAGTTCATTTGAATAGGAAGTCCGTCAACAGAGAATCGCTACCAAGTTGAGAGTTTTCAAAGAACCCGTTGGCCTGAAGAGCAATCTCTACTTGAATGAAGAAAAAGCCTCCTCATTTCTTTGACCTTACAAGGAGGCGTTCAGGGCGTGGTGAGCTGTTTCAAATAGTCCTTGTGGCGTATTCGTAGGCAATACGAGGACGTCAAAATGAGCGTGTCATTTTCCTGCGCGCACGGGTTAAAAAATAGGTCGAAGTGGTTCGGATTCACCGAGGACAATAATTTTGCTTTTTCTACAGTTTTTCATTTTTTTGGACCCATGTTTGTCTGAATAATTGTCCTAACAAAAACATTCACGATCAACTGAACAATCCTACTTTTATGGAGCAAAACTACTTTTTTCGTTCTTTGTATGCACAGACTCAGCTCTTCGGCGCTATGCTGGTACCATATGGCACTGAAACCGAAAATAAAGTCTAGAATCGTGATCAGGACTGTCGATACCGTACGAGTCACATGCTCCGCAGCACTGACTCGTGGAGATAGCTGAGAGGGCCTCTATTGGCAGTTGTGAGTGTTCATCAGTTGTCTGTCTTTGAGATCCAACAACACTGCACAAAATAATTGATGCTCGGGCGGCTTGATACGGGCCGCTTAAAACTGAGTGTTA